TCCGAACCTCTCCATGGAGGGCAGGCGGGCCTCAAACTTGCAGCAAACCCCTGTACGTTTCCTGAGGGCTGGCCTGCAGGCCTGCACCACCACACCCCGCGAGCCGCAGTAATTCATACTATAAAACCAGATCAGAGGGTCAACTGGAAATGATGATGCCAACAGGTTGATGGCACAGAAGCACCTGCCTGCCAAGTGGCACAACGCTGTCACACTGCAGGCGTTTCCTAGGCGCTAGAATGAACAGACACGGTAAGTCAGCCCACCAGGTGCGAATGGCTGCCTCGGGCTCGAGACCGTCAGGGGCCTTTCAGCAGAGGCCAGGCATGCAGGACCGAGCCGCCGAGGAGGCGGATGACCGAGGCCACGCGAGCCAACGCCTACTCGACCCTGCAGCAGACGCTGACGTAGGACTGAGCGCGAACCCGGCCGGGAAACCCCTTGCGTACCTAGCCAGCCGCTTGGTCGCCATTCCTGACAATCCCCGTTCCTCTGAATCAAATAGCCGGAAGTCAACGGCTCTTACTCTGTTCAAATGCCGGCGCTGCCGAGAAGAGGGCGGAAGCCACAGCCGGGGTTGGCTCAGAGGTGGGAGAAATCTGACCCTACAGAAACGTTCCGGGCGTTTCAGAAAGGGGCGTGGGGGCGTGGTTTGGGCCGTTTCTGGACCAGGGCAACCCGGCCGGGAAACCCCTTGCGTACCTAGCCAGCCGCTTGGTCGCCATTCCCGACAATCCCCGTTCCTCTGAATCAAACGGCCGGAAGTCAACGGCTCTTACTCTGTTCAAATGCTGGCGCGGCCGAGAAGAGGGCGGAAGCCACAGCCAGGGTTGGCTCAGAGGTGGGAGAAATCTGATCCTACAGAAACGTTCCGGGCGTTTCAGAAAGGGGCGTGGGGGGCGTGGTTTGGGCCGTTTCTGGACCAGGGCGTGGGGGCGTGGTTTTGTCTTCCGGGGCGGGACGTGGTTTGCGCCGTTTCTGGACCAGGGCCTGGGGGCGTGGTTTTGTCTTCTGGGGCATGACGTAGTTTGCGCTGTTTCTGGACCCGGGCGTGGGGGCGTGGTTTTGTCTTCCGGGGCGGGACGTCGTTTGCGCCGTTTCTGGACCGCGGCGTGGAGGGCGTGGCTTGACCTGTTGGGCCTGGAGAGGGCATGATTTGGGAGTCTATGGGCCCTGCGGGCGGAACTCGTGGTTTGGGGCGGGGAAGCGGCTGCGCTGCGCCGCCCTCGCTCCGCCTTCGGGCTGAGGCGTGTGGTTTGGCGTGGTTTTGTCTTCCGGGGCGGGACGTGGTTTGCGCCGTTTCTGGACCGCGGCGTGGAGGGTGTGGCTTGACCTGTTGGGCCTGGC